GATTATATCGTCTATTTTAAACGAGGGTGGGAAGCAGTGGGCCGAAACTCTTTTACTTTACTGCATTGGAAGCCTTGGAACTCTCTACACGTACAGCAAGTTAGGAACAAATTCTTGTTTATTCTAGTTTATAGTATAGTGGTTAAGGAAAGGTCTGATGGGAAATGGTAGAAAATTAGAGGCATGAGGAGTATGATTTTCACAGAAAGAATTGCGGTTGAATTAGCATAAGTAAAGTTGTATCGTCTATGAGAATTGTACCATTGTAGCCCCCCCACTATGACGGTAAAACTACAATTTGTATATTTCAATAGTTAGTCGCTGATAGTAGTGTTGTAATTGTTAGATTCAAGGCCATTAGCAAGAACAAGGTCAAGGACCACAATGTAAATAAGTTGCTAGTTCATGCTTTTTTGAATTTGTGTGATAATATTTAATAACGACGTGGATATTCGTTCCGAATCTAGAACGGTCTACATGCTAAATTGCTATGAGTATTTTGCTATGGCAGGCGACTACGGCTGTGACGCCCCTGCATTACATGGTAGTGTTATACACCATAGATAGTGTTTGGTACCTTTTTATTATCCCATCTGTCGGCTTTTCTTCTTTGTTGTTTTTTTTTAAGAGTATGTGTTCTTTAGATATGACTTCAAGGTTATAGTAAGACGCTATCGAGTCGGTTTATAGTTGAGGGGGTGTTAGGGATTGGGTGAATGTGCGATGTTATGGTACAAAGTTGGTCATGGATTTGGATAGTGTGTATAGGTGAGTGATTGGAGAAGTGCAGTGTATGAATGGAATGGGGCGAATGCAACTGGCATCGCGCTGGCATGGATGGACGGATGCAGCGGACAGACGGGCGGACGGCCGACGAACGGACGGGCAGACGGGCGGACGACGGATGGCATGGTTTGGCTCGTGACGTGGCATGGATAGATGGGTGGGCTGTTTAGTTGAGTGTGCTGTATGTTGTGTGTGTGGTGTGCTGCTGTGTGAGTTGTGATGCGACGGCTCCGTGACGTCGCTGTGAGCTGTAGTGTGTTGTGGTTGTATGTGTGTGTGTGTTGTAGTGTATGGCATGATGATAGTGGTGTTGTGGGTGTGTGTGTGTGTGTAGTGTGGTTCATGTGTGACTGTCTAGTGTCGTGCAGTGTGTCGTGTATCGCGTGTGTCGCTGTGTGAGTGAAAGTAAGTGAGAGAGCGTGAGTGAAGTGAGTGTTGCCGATGCGTTTGAGTGCAGTGAGTGAGTGAGTGAGTGATGTTCCCAGTGCAGTGAGCGTGAGTGCAAGTGATGTGAGAGAAGCTTAGATTGATGAGCTGAGCGTGGCGCCTTGTGAGCTGCGGTGAGTGCAGGTGAAGTGAATGCGATGAGTGAGTGAGTGAGTGAGTGAGTGAGTGAGTGAGTGAATGAGTAAGTGAATGCTATTTAACTCCATGATATTCCTGTAATATGATTCTCATATATAGGCCTACTATGACATTCTTATACCTGTCGTGACAGTCGTGCGATATGATACTCATATATATCACGCTCTTATATACGCGATGCATTTCACCTGATTCTTCTTGGGTATTCTCATCTCGAAAGGTGGATCTGCCATTCTTTGCCGCACCTTCTCCTTGAATGCCTTGTACTCCTCCGTTTGAAGGCTTCCGATGTTGATGTTGAGCAATCCCTTAAAGGCGAAAAACGCGTCCGGATCCGTTTCCGGAGGGTCGAATTTACCCATCCACGAGTTTGCGGCAACGTGTGCTTCTATATGAACAACGGGCGGCACGACGAGCATTAGTCTAAAATAATCCATAGAAATAATAGAAATAATAGAAATTATTGTGTAATTACGTGATAACGTAATAATACGCGTGTACGTGCGCGCATGCGTGTATATGCACGCATACGTGTATGTGCGCGCACGCGTGTACGTGCACGCATGCGTGTATATGCACACGTGTATGCGCGTATACATGCACGCGTGCAGTCATGTCCATCTGCATGTGTACGGCAGATACACTAACGTAGACCTGTTGTATACGGCAGATACACGCGTGCGCGCACATGAGGCGGAGGTCGGCAGCACGAGCATTGACAAATCCAATGGGCAACCCATTCGGTAATCCACTGCCCTCGTGGCATCCTGACTCTGTGACTGTGCACGAGTCTTTGCGCCTGTACGTGCGGTACCTCGCGGTCGACGCTGACCGCTCGATCGAGTTGGCCAACTCACAGTCGTCAGTGTAAACGCGCTGCACAGTTCATAGAACGGTTGATAGAGCGTTGGGAAGTTGGTCCAATACGCCAACACAAAGTTGGCAATGTAAACCCAGCTTTATATTAAATCATAGCTTGTCGCGATACTAAGCGGTAAATATATCATTATTATATTCATATATTCATTATTAATATTATTATTATTATTATTATTATTTTTATATTATGAATTATTTTGATTTATATAAAGTTAATATAATTAAATGAATAAATATACGGTCGCTCGGTAATAAACGTAGACATCATAAACCAATATTTCGATTTAGTCTATAATGAATTCACATGGCTGCACCACTCCTTTTTAACTCGCATGTTATATATATATACCATATAGTGACATATACCGGTCGTCCTTACTTTGCGTGTGCGTTTGGGTTCAAAACAGCACATAGTTCGCTAATGAGAACGCGATATAATGTTTAAAAAACTCGACTTTCCACGAAAGTAGAGCAATGTATGATCATTGATCTGTTTTTATTTCTTAACATGCGAGCGACGCTGTGCAAACAGCGAGGATGGATGGTTATACGTGACGTCACATACCGGCAGAAAGCTCGAATGTTATGAAGACATAATCGGAGCTGGAGAGCATGTCGAGTTTGAGAGCGTTCATGAGGATGCTCCGCACGTCGCCCGCGTCGGCGCAGATGATAGTTACTGGAAAGAAAAATCAACAGAATCACGCACGCTGTAGTATAAGTAGAATAGTACATAGATATAATTATATAGTTATAGAGTATTATGTAATATATATCGGTATATCGGTAATCGGTATATGTAATATATATCGTATAATGTATAGTATATAGTATATAGTATATAGTATATACATAGTATATAGTATATGGTACACACTATACATAGTACACGGTACATCGTACATAGTATATAGTATATGGTACACACTATACATAAGTAAACAACGGTAGCATCGTACAATAGTATAATAGTATATGGTACACAACTAACACTAGTACACGGTACATCGTACATAGTACATAGTACATAGTATGTAGTATGTAGTATATAGTATATATATAGCAGTGCTGCCACTCAGGATATTACAAAAAAGTATAAAATCTGTCCAGAAAAAAGTATCAAAATTGTCTAAATAAAGTATAAAAAAAGTATCAATTTGCATCAACCTACTATACCTCACCAATTTGCCTCACGTGTTACTTTATACCTTATGCCTTGTTACCGAATACATTATAGCCTATGTGCAGCATGTGAACAAGCTTCAGGAATGACGTGTGCAATATCATGAGGAGTGTTGTCTCTTGAACTCTCAGTTCGAAATATTTCAATGCTCTGTCATTTGGTCACTGACAGCAGAGAGCTGAGAGCAAAACCACTGAACAGAGCACACATCACTCCTGCAACAAGACTAGCAAAGAGCACATATTTAAAAATTTTTTTCTCATAAATACAGCTGTAACAAATGTAAGTCCGAAGAGTTTGACTATCTTTTTGGCAAAAGAAAAGAATTTAAACTACTTACACATGAAAAACGTATAAAAAAAAGTATAAAAAGTAGAGTTTCTTATAAAAGTATAATACTTTATAAAAAGTATAAAGTGGCAGCACTGATATAGTATATAGCATATAGTATATAGTATATAGTATATAGATATTAGTATAATAGTATATAGTATTATAGTATATAGTATAATGTATATAGTATATAGTATAATAGTATATAGTAATATAAGTATATAGTATATAGTATATAGTATATAGTATATAATAGTATATAGTATATAGTATTATAGTATATAGTATATATAGTATATATAGTATATAGTATGTAGTAATATAGTATATTAGTATAGTAGTATATAGTAAATAGTATATAGTATATAGTTATATGTATATAGTATATAGTATATAGTATAATAGTGTATAGTATATAGTATATAGTGATTAGTATATCTATATATATGCATTGCGCCGCGCAGTGTGTGTGTGTGTGTGTGTGTGCTGTGTGTGTGTGTGTGTGTGTTGTGTTGTGTGTGTGTGTGTGTGGTGTGTGTGTGTGTGTGTGTGTTGTGTGGGTGTGGTGTGTGTGTCTTGTGTGTATGTGTGTGTGCGTGCGTTGTACGCTGTGGGTGTGTATGTGATGTGTGTGTGTTAGTGTGTCGGCGAGTCTTGTTGTGTGTGGTGTGTGTGTGTGTGTGTGTGATATGTTGTGCGTGGCGTCGTGTGTTTTTTCGTAAAGATGAGGAGAGAGAGAGAAATAGAGAGAAGAGGAGAGAGAGAGAGAAAAAAAAGAGAGCGACAGAGAGAGAGGAAGAGGGCGAACTGTAGAGAGAGAAGAGAGAGACAGAGAGAGAAGAGAGACAGAAGTCGGGGAGAGAGGCGCGAGAGAGAAGAGAGGGCGAGAGAGAGAGAGAGAGAGAGAGAGAGAGAGAGAGAGAGAGAGAGAGAGAGAGAGAGAGAAGAGAGAGCTGCCTTGTGCATCTCTAACAACGACGTACTAACAAGTTAGCCACTACGTATATATACATACAGCAACATACTTCTACACTGAGATTTTGTCGTTTCCACCATTCTCGCGTGTCGCTCTCGCTCCGAAGCGCCTGGCTCAAAACTCTCGTAAAATCTCACGTGGATGCGATTCTCCTCGAGGTTGAATTTGATCGCCTTCGCCGCGCGTTCCCAATTGACGTTCGTCGACGTCAGTATGCAGGCGTTGCGCCAGCGCCAGTGCTTCAGTATCGCGGTGACCATCGGCGCGGCTAGCGTCAACGTCCCCACCGTCCGTGCGAACGTCGGGTATCGGTCTCCGGCCGTCAGCGCGCTGGACGTGCAGCCCCACGACACCATCGGCACGTTCCAGTGTGCGGCCAGCAGGCCCGCCGACTGACAGACGTCGTCGCAGCCGGGACCGATGAAGGCGTCGACGCGTACGTCGCCCGTTAGAAACTCGACGACGCGAGCGAGGCCCTGCGTCTCGTCGCACTTGGTGTCGCTCCAGACGAAGCGGAGTCGCGTGCGCGGCAGCAGCGACGCGTCGGCGTTGATGTCGTCGACGGCGATCGCCACGGCGCTGCCGACCGTCCTGCCGATCGGTCGCGCTCCGGAGACGGGCAAAAGGACGGCCAAGGTGACCGTGTCGTTGGCGAACACGCACGCGGACAGCTGAAGCAGCAGCGGAATGCCGAGCGATGCTAGCAGCTTAGTCGTACAGAGGTCAGCTCGCAGTGATCGCCTCGTCGCCATGACCTCGTCTATCGGGGTCTGCTTCGTGGATGGTGTGAAGACACGGATGTATATATATATATATATGTATATATACACGCACGCGCACGCTCTTATTCACAATATCTTCTACGTCAAAATATCCATCGCGGGCGGGGTTGAGGACACTGATACGTACACGCGCGCACGTGAAATGTCCGCGACATATAAACACCTGTTAATTACACGTATACACGTGCGTGAATATATACACTCCACGCATTGAGTTTATGTCCTGCTGGTACTCGCTCCACTATATTATACCGAGATACTGTACTCGCCAGAGTATTATTATGTTCTCCGCGCATCGAATTTGACGTCCAACTGACGGTTACGATGAGAATCGCGGGAGCAAACTAGCGTAGTTCGCATCTCGTGCTCGAGTGAGAATTCGAAGCTCTCCGAGCATGCGACCGACCACGCAATGTGCAATCATTAGCAGTATCGAGCGTGCGCGCATGCGCTATGTGTGTGTATGTGTATGTGTGTGTGTGTGTGTGTGTGTGTGTGTGTGTGTGTGTGTGTGTGTGTGTGTGTGTGTGTGTGTGTG